CCCACACGGGAGCCCGGACGAACATTTCGAGCCCTCTGCCCCGAGAAGCTCCCAGGGGGGCCCTACGGTCAGAGGCCCTCAAGAGGCCCCCGGGAAGCCCTCAGAGACCCCCAAGCGGCCCCCAAGAGACCCCAAAACTGCCCCCCAGAGGCCTACGAGCGCTCTCCGACGAAGCCCCACGAAGCATCCCTGCAGACTCTGCCACACGGCAGCGTCGTTGTCGCTGCCGCCGCCGTCGTCGCCGTCGTCGTCGTCCCCCCTTCAGGGTCGGCGGCACCGGACGTAGGCCCTTCCCAGTACAGTACTGTTTCGCCCACATGTCAGGAACTATCCTGCAGACCAGAGGAATATGGGATTATGTTGCGCCCGTCGTACTGAAGGACCACATCCCAGAAACAATTCCGAGCACCCAGAGAAGTATCGAAACAGTGTCGAACGAGTATCGCCTCCCTGGGCACGACACATGAAAACCCTCCAGTCTCGGTGCTTCCGTGGTGCTCGAAATCCTTTCTGGTGGTCAAAGATAGAGTACGTAGGTTGGAGCGTCATAAAGCTGGGAGCCTTGGGCGCTGCGAGCGCTCTGGGCAGAAACGTCGATGCACATGTTATACCAAGCGAAGAAGCCCAGCGGCAGAGAGAGGCGGCCGAGGGGGGGAGGGAGGGAGGGAGGGGTGCACGGTTTCCCCCGGGGCCGTAGGCGAACCGAGGAGGAGGAGGAGGAGGAGGAGGAGGAGGAGGAGGAGGAAGAGGAGGAGGAGGACGAGGGGGAGGGGGAGGAGAAGGAGGAGGAGGAGGAGGAGGAGGAGAAGGAGGAGGAGGACGGGTCGCTAAGCCCGTCGGAGAAACCCTCCACCTTTTACACCAAGCGCAGAAGCCCAGCGGCAGAGAGAGGCGGTCGAGGGGGAGAGGGTGGGAGGGAGGGAGGGGTGGGCGGGAGGGGGGCGCGTAGCCTGACGCGGAGGAGGAGGGAGAGGAGGAGGAGGAGGAGGAGGAGGGAGGAGGAGGGGTCGCCTAAGCCCTTCGGAGAAACCCTCCACTTTTTACACCAAGCGCAGAAGCCCAGCGGCAGAGAGAGGCGGTCGAGGGGGAGAGCGAGGGAGGGAGGGAGGGAGGGAGGGGCGGGAGGGGGGCGCGTAGCCTGCACGCAGGCTACCCGAGTGACGGAGTGACGGAGGCATGCAAGATACCATTCACTGCCCTGCTGTATCTGACCTATCGCTGCCTCCTCCTCCTCCTCATCCTCCTCCTCCTCCTCCTGCTCCTCCTCCTCCTCCTCCTCCTCCTCCTCCTCCTCCTCCTCCTCCTCCTCCTCCTCCTCCTCCTCCTCCTCCTCCCCACCGGCGTGCCCTCGGCCCCGCTGGCCGACGTGCCCACCAAGATGGGGCTACGTGCCTGCTCCGCCGGGCTGCGCGGGGCCTCTCCCCACCTGGGATGGGCCAGCTGCCGAGGCCGAGGCGCCCTGGCCCCAGGAGGGGGGCCGACGGGAAGTCGCTTCAGGAAGGTACCTGCCGATTACCTCCCCTCTTCGCTCCGGGCAGCCCAACGAGGTGGGCCCAGGGACACACAGATAAACAAGTCCCAGGATTAAGCCTATACATATTCCCGTACCTTCCAGGGCTTCGTCGCCCCCCCCCCACTTCCTATAGTTTCCCATAATCTTCCTGGGAGTCGAAGATTCATTGTGTCTGTGTGTTCTCTCCCCTCCTGAAGATCGGAAGTCGCTTCGGGAGGTGCCTGCCGATGCCCTAACACCGCTTCGCTCTGGGCAGCCTCGCGCATGCCCGCGCGCACCAGTCCTGCGTGTATACCCCCGCCGCGCCTGCGCAGCCGACAAGGCCAGGATGTCCCGGGGGCGGGGGGGGAAAGGGGAGGGATCGGCGGCACGCAAGAGAGTGGCCCAAGGCAAGTGTTAGGTCGGGCATGTGCTCCTGCAGGCGGATGTGGGAGGAAAAATGAAACTCAAAAACTGTCACACAAAAACAAAAAAAAAAAAAACGAAACAAACAAAAACAAGTCCCCAGACTATGTTTTGACTATTGTTGAATATTCCTGCAGAGGGACACGCCCGACTTAATTCAGGCAAGAGTGACCCTTGGTGCGCGACTGTCTCGGGAGCGCGGGGGAGGGGGGGGGGCACCCAAGCGCGCAAGACGCTGCCATCGCATCGCGCTCGGCGATCGAGGGACCAGTGGGCCCGCACCGAAGAGGCAACTCCGGCGACGGGCCACCCTTCTGCGTCGGGGGGAGCAGGAGGGCCGAAGCACTCGGGCTGAATCGCCGGGCCATTCACAAAAACAGCCCCTTGGCGACAGGCTCCTCTGCGGAGACCTCATTGCATCGGCCTTGCAGACGTGCTGCAGCAGATTTCTGCGTGGATTTCCGCGTGGATTTTTCCCCACATCCTAAGTGGGGTTTTTGTTTTCTCTGTACACCCTCCGCGCAGGATCTCCTCCTCCTCCTCCTCCGTCTCCTCTGCTCCTCTTTGCTTCCTCCTCCGCATCATCATCACCATCACCATCACTCACATCCATCATCATCATCATCATCATCATCACCATCAGCATCACCATCACCATCGCACGATCACTCACCATCATCGGCATCGATCACGATCATCATCATCATCATCATCATCATCATCATCATCATCATCATCACTACTCGCTGACTTGAGGCCTGAATATGGAGGAAGTATCAGGCGGGAGCCTCGTCTGTGAGTGAATTGTGAGGAAGTCTCAAGCGGGAACCCCCTCCCTATGGGGCCCGCACTTCATGTTCGAATCCGAGCGGGTCATCCGCAACGTGCAACCGTCGTCACGTTTGGGCTCTTGAGACCTGAATATGGAGGAAGTCTCGAGCGGGAGCCTCGTCTGTGAGTGAATTGCGAGGAAGTCTCAGGCGGGAGCCCCCTCCGTATGGGGTCCGCACTTCATGTTCGAATCCGAGCGGGTCATCGGCAACGTGTAACTGTCGTCATTTTTGGGCTCTTGAGGCTGATATGGAGGAAGTATCAGGCGGGAGCCTCGTCTGTGAGTGAATGGAGGTCTCAGGCGGGAGTATCATGGCGGGATGAGTGAATGGAGGAAGTGTCTCAGAAGTCTCAGGCGGGAGCCCCCTCCCTATGGGGCCCGCACTTCATGTTCGAATCCGAGCGGGTCATCCGCAACGTGCAACTGTCGTCACTTTTGGGCTCTTGAGGCCTGAATATGGAGGAAGTATCAGGCGGGAGCCTCGTCTGTGAGTGAATTGTGAGGAAGTCTCAGGCGGGAGCCCCCTCCCTATGGGGCCCGCACTTCATGTTCGAATCCGAGCGGGTCATCCGCAACGTGCAACTGTCGTCACTTTTGGGCTCTTGAGACCTGAATATGGAGGAAGTCTCGAGCGGGAGCCTCGTCTGTGAGTGAATTGCGAGGAAGTCTCAGGCGGGAGCCCCCTCCCTATGGGGCCCGCACTTCACGTTCGAATCCGAGCGGGTCATCCGCAACGTGTTACTGTCGTCACTTTTGGGCTCTTGAGGCCTGAATATGGAAGAAGTAGCAGGCGGGAGCCTCGTCTGTGAGTGAATTGTGAGGAAGTCTCAGGCGGGAGCCCCCTCCCTATGGGGCCCGCACTTCATGTTCGAACCCGAGCGGGTCATCCGCAACGTGCAACTGTCGTCACGTTTGGGTTCCTGAGACCTGAATATGGAGGACGTCTCGAGCGGGAGCCTCGTCTGTGAGTGAATTGTGAGGAAGTCTCAGGCGGGAGCCCCCTCCCTATGGGGCCCGCACTTCATGTTCGAATCCGAGCGGGTCATCCGCAACGTGCAACTGTCGTCACTTTTGGGCTCTTGAGACCTGAATATGGAGGAAGTCTCGAGCGGGAGCCTACGGCCCAGCCCGAAGGTTTGTCCCGACGGCTTCGCGATCTAGCCGTCGGCAGACGCGCGCGCGCTGGCCGAGGCGGCGACGGCGCTGAGGAAAATGGATTTGCTTGCCCCGACGAGGGGGAAGGGGAGGTGCACATGGAGAAAAGGCAGGGGGATGAGGAGGGAAGGGGCATGGGGGAGGCCGACGACGAGGAGGAGGTGGCGCGAGAGGAGGAGGAGGAGGAGGAGGAGGAGGAGGAGGAGGAGGAGGAGGAGGAGGAGGAGGAGGAGAAAGAGGAGGAGGAAGAGAAATAGAAGGGGGAAGAGAGGGCAGTGCAGGGGGCGAGAGGAGAGGGTGTCCGCCAGGGGGAGGAGGAAAGGGCAAAGGGTAAGCTAAACAGATTCTCATGTGGGGTCCTACCGTCGGAGTAATTGCCCGAAGCGTCGGGCGAAAAACAAAGTGAATTTCGCTGGCCAAAAAAGAAAACCGAGCGAAATTCACCTCGAAATCAGGAACGAAATTCTCCGGGACACTCCGGGCCCATCCCACTGTTTTCAAAGCGAAACCCGCTCTGCGATGCTGGCGCCATGAGATCGACTACACGCAAGAGTGACCCTGGGTAAGAGGGACCTTTGGTGCGCGGCGTTTTGGGGACCGCGGGGGGGCCGAACACAAACGCGCAAGACGCTACTGCCGCATCGAGTCTGGCGATCGGGGGAACCCAGTGGGCCCGCGCCAAAGGTCACTCCGGCGAAAGGTCACTCTTACATCTAGTCTTATGTCGGGCGTGTCCCCCTACGGGAGGATTGTCGACGAAAAAATAAGAATACACCAAAAGTACTCCAAAAAAATGTCAAAAAATACTTTAAAAATAGTCCCCAGACTATTTTTGGAGCATTTTTGGACTATTTTGGGGGTCTTTTTTTATTTTCGTCGAAAATCCCCCTACAGGGGAATTTTCGACGGAAAATAAAAAATACCCCAACAATAATCAAAAAATACTCCAAAAATACTCCAAAAATACCCCCCACAGTATTTTTGGAGTATTTTTGGACTATTTGGGGGGTATTTTAAATTTTTCGTCGACAATCCCCCTGTAGGGGGACAGGCCCGACCTGAGTCCTAGTCGAGGAGAGCCGCCCCCCTCCCCTCCGCAGGGCACCGCCACCGGCCGGTACGTCGGCGCCCCCGAGCGCGAGCCGCTGGAGCCGCCCGCGCCGGGCTGGCCCGCGGCGTGCGGCGCGCCGGCGACCCCTGAGAAGCCCGGGAGCGGGAGCGCCTCGCGGGCCGGCGGCGACGGCGGCCCCCTCTATCGGGGGAGAAAAAGATACACCCTGCGAAATGCTTAAGAAATCATGGGTTAAGAAATTCATAGTCTCAGAACTTGGATCAAACACCCAACATTTCTATTAAAATCTTAGAATTTACATTGAAACATTAAGAATGATCGAGACTCTGGCCGAAAACTTAGGTTTTCTTAAGCATCGCCTAAGGTGTACGGATGCGTGTTGTCCCCCTTCGCTTTCGGCCTCTCCTGGTCCTCCTGGGGGATCCTCGTTGTCACCGCTGGCTTCGCCTCGAAATTCTGGTCAGGACGCACCCCAAGAGAGGTCCGGGGGCAGCACGTAGCCGTATACCTTTCCGCCCCCCAACTCTCTAGCGAGCGAGCGAGCGAGCGCGGAGCCGCACTCTGGGTCTCGTTGTAATATGGAGATGGGGGGGGGATCTGACGGGCCTAAGTCAGACGAGGTGGTGGGAGGGTCTCGGCCTGGGGCCCGGCGTGGTCTCTCCGGACGTGGTGTTGGTGCAGTGGCGTCGCTCCCCTGGGGGGGGGAGTCCCAAGCACGCCGTCGGACACTTGTTTGGCTCTCCCCCCACGCTACTGCGAGGATCGGCGCACCCATCGTTCGGAAGAAGTGTGTCGAAACATGAAGTAGGAAGGCGATGACAGTACTCAAGACGGTGCGAGATGGACACAAGGCGGCCGAATATGGCCCCAAGGCGGCCTAAGATGCCCCCCGGAGGGCCAAATTGGGCCCCAAGAGAACCTCTAACAGGGCCCGAAAAAGCCAAAAAGCCGAAGCCAAAATTATTGGCCCCGAGAAAGCCTCACGAGGGTCCAAGAAGGCCCCAGGGGACCCCCAAGACTGCCTCGCAGGTGGCCCAGACAGCCACAAGACGACCCAAACGAGTTCCATGAGAGCTCCTCAAAAAATGAAAACGAAGGTGTCACTTGTGCCTGCCTTTCCCCTTCTCCTGCTTCCTCCTCCTCCTCCTCCTCCTCCTTCTCCTCCTGCTCCTCATCCTCCTCCTCCTCCTCCTCCTCCTCCTCCTCCTCCTCCTCCTCCTCTGGCTCCCCTGGCTCATCTGGCTCCTAGTGTTGTTCCTATCGCTCCTCTTGCTCATATTGCTCCTCTTGCTCCTCTTGCTCATATTGTTCCTCTTGTTCGTCTTGCCCATATTACTCATGTTGCTCCTTGTGTGTTCATATTGATCATGTGGCTCATATTGCTGCTATACCTCCTCTTGCTCATAGTGTTCCTACTGCTCTCATCTAGCTCGTCTTCTCCAGATTGCTCTTATTGCTTCTCTTGCCCCTCTTGCTCATCATGCTCCTCGTTTCCCGCTTGCTCATAGTACAACTATTACTCCTCGTGGTTGCTTTGATTACATTGCTCATCTTGCTCAGATTGATCATGCTGATTATCTTGCTCCCCTCGATATCATTGATCCTCTTGCACTTAATCAACCTCTTGCTCATGGTTCTCCTCCTCCTCCTCCTCCGACTCCTCCGCCTGCTCCTCCTCCTCGTCCTCCTCCTCCTCCGCCTCCTCTTCCCCAGCAAAAAAAACAACACCATGCCACCTACGGCCCTCGGATGTACGATTTTGGACGCCTTGCTCCGCGTCGTCTTGGCGTACTGCCGCGAAAACTGGGGTCGGCGTCGGGCAGCTGCCGCGCAACGCAGGCGCCGAGCACCGCGTGCGCACCGCTCACAGCGACAACACCGCGGGTTCCGTCTGCTGGCCAGGCGAGGCCCTCGTGCGCAGATTATGCACCGCTTGCCTCGGCAAACGCCCGACGGTACTGCTCGGCGCCGCTCTTGCAGCATTCGTCGTCCAACTCACTGCCGCGATGCGTGCGCCATGTTTGCCGCTGACGTACTTGCTTCAAACACGTTGGTCGCTGGCGCCGCCGCGGGAGCCCGGGGGCCGCCGGGGGGCCGCCCGGGGGCCGCCGGGGAGGGCGCGGCGGGCCGCTGGGGGGCCACTTGCCTTATCAAGGGGGAGCGTCAGACCGCGCCGCGGGGCCGTAGCATAGACCACGAAATCCGACCTGGAATGTTGCATGGTATACGCTGCGGCACCGATAGGCCGTGGCCTATACACCATGGCTTTGGTGCGGGACACGCTGCGGCCTCCGATCGGCCCCCGCAGATACCGGCGCCCGCTCCTGGGATCTCCAGGGGCGCCCGAGGGGTCAGCGGCCGCTGGGATTCGGTGCCGAGCTAAGTCACCCTCTGTCGCGCGCGACAGGACGCCCGCATCTCCAGCGAAGCGGCAACGCCAAGATTGCACGGCGACGCCGTCCAGACAGGCGGCGAACAGACACAACAAACCGGCCACTCTGGCCTCTCACCAGGTTGGCAGCGAAGTGGCCCGAACTGGAACATCGAAAACAGGTGTGGGGGCTACGGCGGCCGCGCACGGTCGCTATCACGCCGCCGTCGCGGGCCACAAAGCATCACCGAAACGCACGTGCTTCAAGGTCTCAAGAATCCAACACGCAGGGCCACAGGCGGGGTGGTGTCGCCAAAATTCTTGGTCGACATTTCGACTCCTCCTCCTCCTCCACCTCCTCCTCCTCCTCCTCCTCGCTCTCCTCCTCCTCCTCCTCCTCCTCCTCCTCCTCCTCCTCCTATTCCTCCTCCTCCTCATCCTCTCTGTTCTCTCCTCTGTTCTCTCTCCTATCTTCTCCTCTTCTCCTTTTCCTTCTCTTGCTCCTCCGCCTTCTCTCCCTCGTCCTCTTCATCCTCATCCTCATCCTCATCTTCCGCCTCATCAGCATCCTCCTCCTCCTCATGCTCCTCCTGCTCCTGCTCCTGCTCCTCCTCCTCCTCCTCCTCCTCCTCCTCCTCCTCCCCCTCCCTCCTCCTCCTCCTCCTCCTCCTCCTCCTCCTCCTCCTCCTCCTCCTCCTCAATATCATCATCAGCAGCAGCATCAGCAGCAGCAGCGGATAATAATAATAACAATAAGAATGGTAATGCTAAACATTATCATACTATACAAAAATTGATGCTAACAACAAAATAATAATGATAATAGTAATAATAATCATCATCATCGTCAGCATCAGCATCATCATCAGCATCATCAGCAGCATCAGCATCAGCATCAGCATCAGCATCATCATCATCATCATCATCCTCATCCTCATCCTCATCCTTATCAGCATCAGCATCATCATCATTATTATCATCATCATCATCATCAACATCATCATCATCGTCATCATCATCAGCAGCATCAGCAGCATCATCATCATCATCATCATCATCATCATCATCATCATCATCATCAGTATCATCAGTTTCATCATCATCATCATCATCAGCATCATCAGTATCGTCATCATTATCCTCATCATCATCACATCATCACCACCATCATCAGCATCATCACAGACTTCAGCATCAACAACATTATCACCATTATAATCAGCAGCATCATCATCACCATCACCATCATTATCACCGCCATCATCATTATCATCATCAGCATCAGCATCAGCATCACCATCATCATCGTCATCATCATCATCATCATCAGCAGCATCATCATCGTCGTCGACGGCAGAAGCAGCGGCACCAGCAACAGCAGCATCATCATCATCATCAGCATCGTCAGCAGCATCATGATCAGCAGCAGCATCATCACCATCATCGTCAGCATCATCATCAGCATCATCATCGTCATCATCATCAAAATTATCCTCGTCAGCATCAGCATCATCATCAGCATCATCAACATCACCAGTATCGTGATCAGCATCATTATCATCCGTCCGCATCCACAGTATCATCATCCGCATCATCATTGTCAACATCATCATCAGCATCATCACCAGCATCATCATCAACATCATCAGCATCATCATCGGCATCATCGACATCATCAGCATCATCAGTATCATCATCGGTACAAGCATCATCATCATCAGCAGCATCCCCATCATCAGCAGCAGTAGCATCAGCATCATCAGCATCATCATCATCATCATCATCATCATCATCATCATCATCATCATCACCATCAGCATCATCAGGATCATCATCATCATCAGCAGCAGCAACATCATCATCGCCTTTCCAAAGCCTTGGGACACGAGGCGTCATATGTGACGGCCAGCCGTGCCCCCTCGAACAGCCGCCACCCGGAATGCTGGGCTGGCACGGCGGCGGGCTTGCCGCAGGCAGCCAGACAGAAGAAGAAAAAACTGCACAGATATAAGCTTTCGGAGTCCGCCCGCACTCTTTGGATCGGCACTGGCGCGCGGAGCGCCCCACTTCCGTGGCGCGCGGAGCGCCCCAGGGAGCGCGGCCTGCCAAGATGCGCGGTTAATTATGTAGCTTTCGAGCAGGAGATCGACTTCAGGATCGCCTTACCCTGAAATTCAAGCGTTTGTCTAGCCTCTGGAAAATACGGATACGGCTCCTGAACCTAAAAACATGAGGCATATTGCTTGTAGACTCGAAAAGTCCATCTGGGGGCAGATCATTTCTGCAGCCGATCTGCCACTCCTGCAGCAGCCGCCCTGGGGGCCTCCGAGAGAGACCCTCCGGCGACGCGCGGGCCCCCCCAACCCCCCGACCTCCGGCCATGTTGGCTGTTGTCCCAGCCCGCCGCGCCAGGGGGACCCCGGCCCCTTCGCCAGGGCCAGTTTTCTGCCGGCGCGCAGAGGGGGGTAACCCCAGGAAGCATTTAAGAAACCCCCCGGCGATATCTTAGCACCGCATTTTTATTCGATATTCCGAGGGGCCGAGGAGAGGAGGAGGAGGGCTCCTGGTGCCAGGTAACGCTTCCAGGGTGCGGAAGGGTTATCGATTTGCCGGAAAGGGGGGGGGGGGTTCTTAAATGCTTCCTGGGGGTAGGCGGAGGGGGAAAAGGCTTCCCCCCTCTCACCCTCATTCCCTGTGCGCGCCGCCAACTTTCCCTGGGGCTGGTCTTGCGCCCCGGACCTGCTTTTGATGGCCCTAAAAAACCCGACAACCACGGCCCTGAGGGGACGAAGCCACGGAACAGCGCCCAGATCGAGAAATCCGCCGACCCCTTGGGGGCTGCTCGGCGTGAGAGGCAATTGCCCCTCCCCAAAGCCCCTCCCCCGGCAGCCTGGTCCCGTCGGTTTGGAGGGGGTGGTCCAACCGAATCCCCTGGATCCCCCGGGAGGGATTATCATTATCCGCTCCAGAAATGAGCGCGGACGGCCTCAGATGACCTCGAAATTGTCCCAGGAAGTCCCAGGACGGCCTCCCATGGCCCCAAGACGCTCCAAGATGGCAAGACAGCCCAAGGGACCCCCAAGACGCCCCCAGAGGGCTCCGAGGCGCCTCCCATAGGGTCCCAAGAAGGAGAACTCCCTGAAGAACAGATCCTTGATCACGCGCAGGGCCCAAGTGGGGGAACACGATCCGACAAGTCGAGCCCTCTGCCCAAGGGATCCCAGGAGGCCACAAGAGGGCCGAGAGAGGCTCCTGAGCGGCCCCCAGCAGGGACCAACGAAGCCTGCAGGACGGCCGCGGAGAGGCCCAACAATAAATAAACGGGCCCCGAGGGTACCAGGCGCCCCCCCCACGCGGCCCCGAGAGGCCCCCGAGAGGCCCTCGAGAGGCCCCCCGAAAGGCCCCGACGCGGCCCTTAAAAAGCCCCCAGAGAGGCCTCCACAAGAACTCTGCGCCAGCGCGCCCAGCTGCGCACGCTCCTCGCGCTTCGGGGCTCCACCCGCCCCCCCTCCTGCAGTGACGACGCGGCGGCCCGCTTCCTCGCCACCGCCGGCACCTGTCGCCGTCCGCGCAGCGGCCCGCCTCCTGCGAGGCACCTCGCCCATGCCATTCAACACCTACGGTCCCGCGGTGTAACACTTCGCGCACGCCACCAGGCTGCCTCGTTCAAAGACGGCTACTCGCAACCCCGGTCGGGCCCCAGGAGGCCCCCAACAGGCACCCAAGAGGCCCCAGCATGCCCCCAGGATGCTCCCCCCAGGACTCCTAAGGACTTCGATGTCTCTGGATGCCTTGGAATTTCTCCAGATCCCTCCAGATGCCAAAGACGCCCAAGACGGCTCAAACGGGCCCCCAAAAGGAACCAGGAGGAGGAACTCGAACTGACATTTCCGACCCCCAGCCCCAAGGAGACCCCCCAAGGCCGCCAGCAAAACCCCCCCCCCCGCAAAAACAACAGACCCCAAGAAGCACCAGAGAAACCCCCAAAGCCGAAGCACATCGAGGGGTCGGCGGTTCGGCGTAAGCCCATGAATCGTATCGTCGGCGATCCGCCCCTGCTTTGAGAAAGCGCTGAAACGGGGGGGCGCATCCGCCCCCCGCGGCGCTAGCAGCGCCCCAGGGCGGGCAGAACGACGCGCCAGAACAGCGCGGCAGACGAGCAGGGCAATCCACCCAACGCCCAGTCTTGACGTGCTCCGGACGCGCACCCCGCGAAGGGAGAAGGAATCATATCGTCGGAGATCCGTCCCTGCTTCAAGAGAGAGCCTCCGACGGCGTGCGAATGATTGGCAACGCAAGGACCCTCAACCCTTTGTGCGGCGATCTAAGCTAGCATGCCAAAAACAGTAGGGGTGGGGGGCTTTCGCTGCAGATGTACCAGACCAAACCGCCCAGAACTCCTCTCCCGAATGCAAAGATGGGGACCTCAGTGAGGCCACGTCTTCCCTGTGTTATTAGGGTTAGGGATTCTTTTGTCCTCGATGAGAAAGAGCCTCCGACGGCGCGCGAACCCCCGCCCCCCAGGGGCCTGGCCCAGCAACCCGCCGCCACGCTGGCCCGCCGCCATCGCGGCGCGCGCGCCCAAGGCCGCGGGGCAGGGGCGCGACGCCGGCGAAGCGGCTCGGGGGAGGGCACCTCATCCTCATCCTCCTCCTCCTCCGCCTCCTGCCTCATTCCTCCCTCCTCCTCCTCCTCCGCCTCCTGCCTCATTCCTCCTCCTCCTCCTCCTCCTCCTCCTCCTCCTCCTCCTCCTTGACTTCCTCTTCCTCCTCCTCCTCCTCATCATCATCAACATCAGCAGCAGCAGCATCAGCATCATCAGCATCACCAGCATCACCAGCATCATCATCCCAACATCATCATCATCAGCATCATCATCATCATCATCATCATCATCATCATCATCATCATCATCATCATCATCATCATCATCAGCATCAGCATCAGCATCAGCATCAGCAACATCATCATAATCATCGTCCTCTTCATCCACCCCATTTCCTCATGAATCGTAAAATGACTCCTCCCTGTCGCACCCCCAGACCAGGCCTCAAAACTGCCTCCAGGAAGCCCCCGAGAAGCCCCCCACGAGATCCCAACGAACATCCGATAGGCTTTATACCCACAACCCAGGCACGGTGGCGGGATGGACCAAACGCCTAAGAGATTGCATCAAAAATATTGCACAACACACATTTCTGGAAATAGGTTGGGGGTCAACGCTGGCAAACCTATACATATGCATAGATATATACATATATATATATATATATATATACGGAAACATATATATATATATATAACTTTATACACATATTGTCAACTGCAGATACAGATGCAGACATCCAAATGCACATGCAGGCATACATACAAACGTACACATATGATTCATACAAACATGCAGGCATACATACATACCTATATGTACAAATACATATATACAGACATGCATGCATGCATGCATGCATGCATGCACGCATATGTTCCCAAATCAGAGCTTGCCTTTGTAGGGGTCCAAGCGGATTCATATGGTTAGGTGAGGTATGTCGCCCGGGTGCCCAGGTATCCGGGTGGCCCGGTGCCCCGGTGCCTGGGTGCCTAGCTGCCTGGGTGCCCGGGTGCCCGGGTGCCCAGGTGCCCGGTAGCCCCACCGCCCTAGAGCCCTATAGCCTTATAGCCTTACAGCCCTATAGCCCTATAGCCCTAACGGCCCTAACGGCCCTGTAGCCCTATAGCCCAAAAGCCCTATAGCCCTACAGCCCTACAGCCTTATAGCCTTATAGCCCTCTAGCCATATAGCCCTATAGCCCTGTAGCCCGATAGCCCTATAGGCCTCTAGCCCTCTAGCCCTATAGCCCTATAGCCCCATCGCCTTATAGCCCTATACCCCTATAGCCCTACAGCCCCATAGCCCTATAGCCCTAACAAATATGGTTGGGGCTTCTCCAGTATCATACACCTACATTCATACAGACATCTGTGAATGCATACATACATAGACACACGCACACACACACACACGCATACATACATACATACATACATACATACATACATACATACATACATACATACATACATACATACATACATACATACATACATACATACATACATACATACATACATACATACATGCATGCATGCATGCATGCATGCATGCATGCATACATACATACATACATACATACATACATACATACACACATATACATGCATACATGCATGCATACATACATATATATATATATATATATATATGTATAACTGCATGCATGCAAACATACGTACATATGTGTGTGCATGCATGCATACACACATACATAAATGCATACATGCATACACACTGTGCATTACATGTCACTCCATTACATTACACTACAATACATTACGCACATGCATGCACATGTATACAAATACATATATATATATATATGTAAACATACATGCATACATAAATACATGCATGCATGCATACATGTGTACATGCATGCGTGCATGCATGCATGCACACATACCTACATACATTAATGCATATACGCGTACACAACAGGTACAGTAAACAGGTACAGTTATCGATGCATATACATATACATATGTGTGTACATGTGCAAAGGCAAGTACATGGACATATGCATATACACATGTGTATGCGGATGTATATGCAGATACATGCATTCATGCATACCGACGTGCTCAAAACCATTCAAAATATACCGTGCTGCGCCCCCGCGGGGCACGCAAGGTTTTCTTTTCCAGTGGCCGCAAGGACTTCGCGGCCCGACACAGGCAGAACACGAGAGGCGGAGAGATGTGCTGTCGATTTACGCACGTAACTCGGGCTGTAGGAGAGCTACAGAGCTCGTACAGAAGACAATCCAGAAGCATCGGGGGCGTCCGGCTGTTGCATCCGAGAGGTCTGAAATTGCTTGGGCTGAAAAACTATTTTTCTGTGTTGGCTTGAGGGAAAGAATCATGGTGCAGACAGGTCTTGGACTGGGGCCTTTCCTCAGGACCAGCTCTTCATTCCGGGCGCTTGGTCGCGGGGCCCGGAGACGGCACAGCAGCCGAAAAACCGGCGAGCCACCTCCAGAGCCCCTTTCCTCCAGAGCCCCTTTTCCTTCATACGGAGGAGCCACGGCGCCAGCTTACCCTACGGCGGGCTCACGTCGCAACGACGTCGACGTTGGCTCGTAAACCCGCGTGGACCGTTCAACCTGTAGGAGGGCACCAACTATACACCAACACCGATCCTGGCCCAGGATCACCCTGGGCCCAGGATCGGTGTATACGCCCTCCTGCCTTGCGCAAGAAGGCACATACACCGATCCTGGGCCCAGGGTGATCCTGGGCCAGGATCGGTCTTGGTGTATAGTTGGTGCCCTCCGACAGCGGTCGGCGTTGGTGCTGCAGGCGGCTGATCGCGGCGCTGCCAGCGTCCGAGGGTGGGGAGGAGGAGGAGGAGGAGGAGGAGGAGGAGGAGGAGGAGGACGAGGACGAGGACGAGGAGGAGGGGCAGGAGGATCGGTGTTGGTGTATAGCTGGTGCCCTCCGACATCCCACCTGGAACGATCGCGGCTCTCCGCTGGCCCGGACGGCGACCGCCCACGCTGGCGTCGCCGACGCGCCGGCGCGCCAGGAGCCTGCCGCTCTCGCTCGTCCCCTCGGACCGTGGCCACCAATCGAGGCACACCCCTCGGGTCGGGCGAAGGGGGGGGATAGCAAAGGTAGGGAGCCCACAAAGGACGCACGCGCCCAGCTGTGTACACGAACACGGCCCCGCGACTCGCGAGACCCGCCGCGCTATACGAACATTTGTGCAAGGCGTGCTCTCGAAACCAGCGTGGATTCATGTACATGTACGTCCTTGTTTCGCTCCTGAAAAGGGGGGGGGTGAGAATCAGCTCACGTGGCTGATTTTCCCGGCGCCTCCCGGCGCCGGAGGCGGCTATGTATCGAGGAATGGGCCCCTCGGTGGGGCCGAAACCAGCTGCATGCAGCAAATTTCGTAACCCCCCCTTTCCCCATCCCCCCCTTCCGCCCGGCCCGAACCCCATGGCATGAACAGGAAAACTCGGAGGTCCACGCGGACCTCCGAGCGATGATGTTCATGTCAGCGCCTGTCCCCCGACCCATCGACCCGCATCGAGCCGCGTCGACTATGAGGCACCGGCGACGCGGCACGATCGACCGACCCCCTCTGCTCGGACCCCATCTGGCAGGCCCAGATGTAGGTCGGGCATGTCCCCCTACAGGCGCAGGCGCATTCTGGGCGAAAAAATCATAATACTAACAGATTCAAGAAGAGCCAAAAAACTATCCAAAAATCGTCCCCAGACTATTTTTTCTATTTTTGAGTATTCCTCCTGTAGGGGGACAGGCCCGACTTACGCCCAGATGTCCCCACCGAGCAGCCTGCTCGGTCGGCTGGCCGCCCGCCCCGCGGTGCCGCTGGCGCTGCTGTCGCCGCCCGCCCGTCGGTCCGGCGGCGGCACGCGCTGGGCGTCATTGCACATGGGCCTGGCCAGGCCTGGCGGGTGGGGGAGGAAGGCGGCGAGGCGCTCGCCGATCCGCTCTCCTCCTCCCCCCTCCCCCTCCTCCTCCTCCTCCTCCTCTTCCCCCTCCTCATCCTCCTCCTCCTCCCCCTCCTTCCCCTCCTCCCCCACCTCCTCTCCCATCCTCCTCCCCCCCCTCCTCCCCCTCCCCCTCCTCCCCCGCCTGCTCCGTCCCGCCTGCTCCGTCCCCATCCGACGCTCCTCGCGCCCTCGTGACCGCCCCCCCTCACCAGGGGAGGGCAGCAGCTCCAGAGGAGGCCAGCCGCCGCAGGAGCCCGTCCATACACCACCTCTGCGCCTGGAAAGGGCCATCCTGGGCCCCAGGACGGTGCACAGGCCTCCTGCCGCACGGTGGTGCACCCATGTCTTCTGCGGGTCCAAGCACAGCCTCAGCCTCAGTCTGCCTTCAGCCTCGGCCTCAGCCTTAGCCTGCCTCAGCCTCAGCCTGCCTCGGCCGCAGCATCAGCCTGCCTCAGCATTCAAAATGTGGCCCAGGAATGGAATTCTGGGAACTAGAAGAACACGAAGTGGCCTACAGTTGGCTCCGGGCATTCAAAATCATGCCCAGGAATGAAGTTCTGGGAACTCGAAGAGCACGAAGTGGCCTACAGTTGGCTCCGGGTATCCAAAATGTGGCCCGGAAATGGAGTTCTGGGAACTCGAAGAACACGAAGTGGCCTACAGTTGGCTCCGGATATCCAAAATGTGGCCCGGGAATGGAGTTCTGGAAACTCGAAGAACACGAAGTGGCCTACAGTTGGCTCCGGGCATCTAAAATGCGGCCCGGGAATGGAGTTCTGGGAGGTCGAAGAGCACGAAGTGTGTGACTGTTGGCTCCGGTTATTCAAAATGTGGCCCGGGAATGGAGTTCTGGGAGGTCGAAGAGCACGAAGTGTGTGACTGTTGGCTTAAAACGACCCCGGCTCTGTTCCCGGCCCTCCTCCCTGGCACCCGCCCAGACCCCCCTGTGGAGTCCAGATGCTCTCTTTTGACACCACTCAAAACCTATCAGCAAAAGCTGTTAAGTAAAAAACGGCCCCATCGATG